CTAGAATAAGTGATCAACTGTCAGTATATACAGGTGAATTGATGGCTATTCTGCTAGCAGTACAACTAATTAAGGAAAGAGAAATACAAAATGCGGTCATTTGTTCAGATTCATATTCAGCAATAGTCAGTATTGATAACCAAAAATCAGAATCAAGGCCAGATTTAATCATAGAAATCCTTCAAAATCTCTTTGAGTTAAAACAAAGTAGAATAGAAGTACAGTTTATGTGGGTTCCAGCCCATGTGGGAATTAAAGGAAATGAAGAAGCAGATAAATTAGCTAAGCAAGCAGTAGATGATGAAATAGTAGAAATTGAGCTATCACATAGTATAAGAGAAATAAAATCAGTAATAATGGAGAAAGTGATTAAAAAGTGGCAACAGTAGTGGGATAATGAGACTAAAGGGAGACATATGCAATACAAAAGAAAGTGGGAAAAGGTAGAAAAAATGGGAGAAATAGGGAGGAAAGTATAATTACAAGACTAAGAATGGGACATACAGGTTTGAATAAAACATTACATGTAATATCTAAACATCCAACGATGTTTATACGTAGGTATAAATACGTAACATTTACAAGCACAAAACGTACACTTTTGTACGTTTTTATGTAACGTGATTATTAATGGTAAGGGTTATGATGAAGAAAGAGAAGTGCTAAGTGAAGAAGTATGGAAAATGAAGGAAAAGAGTTAACATTAAAGAATATATTAGACTCAGATATAGGAAATAGCAAGATAAATGTGTTGTTTCAGTTTCTGAATAATACAGGTTTAATGAAGAGAATGTAGAATAAGTACAGTATATAGGCTATAGAGAGGTAGAAGATGCTGATATAGTGTGGGTAGAAGGGAAAGTATATCTGAAGGTTAAATAAGGATACAGTGGGATATCGGAATTGAAAGAGAATTGGGGTGGAAACTGGAGGAGCTGAACACGAAAACATTTTTTATCATCAGGTAGCTTAGATCAGTGTTTCCCAACCTTTTTTTTAGTCGCGGCACCCTTTGGAAATTTTAACAAATTTGTGGCACCCCCCTAGAATTTTGAACTTCGATATGATCATTTGAAAAGTATAGATATTCGGCACAACAGGGAAGAACTGCAGAATATAATGTCATACAGATATTTTTAATATTATAAAAACATTTTGTCCATCAATGGTGATAATCAGTAGGCTCATTTCTAATGGAAAGACCAATTTATATGACATATTTTAAAGTAGGCTTTTATACATATGTAAACATTATTTAATTACCATTATAACTACCTATCTCACAAGTGTTTGCTCACTCAGTGTTTTTTTTTATTTTACAGTGGGGTGATTTGGGTGCAGTAGCACGAGATAGCTTGATTTCAAACTTTGAATTGAATAAAAAATGACAAGTAAGCAGTCAGTAATAAAATAAGAACAAATAAAGAAATTAATAATGATAGCACAAATAAAAAATAACGACAGGCCTTCGAATTAAATAAATAGCTTTTTAGTTTTTCAGGTAGGTCTAACAGTAGGGTTAAGATATTTAACTATTTTTTTTTTCTACCAATTATCCAAATAATGTTTAGTCCTAGAAAGCTATTATTATCAGAACACGCGAGCATAACATAGCGGTTAGCAGATCAATGAATGAGAGGGCAGCGTTACCAGAATTGCCCATATATCACACCCTGTTACAACACAGTAGGGCTATTGCAGACAGAAACAATTCTGTACTACATCGATGTTTCCTGTCGGCTCAATTTTTGAGTAGACTTTGCTGTTCCGATTCACATGAACGGTATACGAGTGGAGCGACTGAGCGGAGC